TGCAGTAACTTCACGAGAGAGGGAAATTTGCAAAGCAATAGATTAAAAAGTCAAATCTGCATTTGAATATGAATGGTATAGAGAGAGGGATCGATTTTTCTTTTTCTTTCTTTTTTTTTTAAATATTAAATTGAAATTCTTTTCTGTGCCAGAAAACTGGATTCGACATAAGACTTAAAAATTTACGAATGAAAGAACGAATATGATTTTCAACATGGTTAAAGCCATATATATATACGGTTTTACTACCAATGCCTCTATGGTATATACGAAACAATGGAACCATTATTTATTAGCACGATTCTGTGAACATTATACGTGCATTGAAATTCACAGGATTCGCTCTTTGCAATGGTTTCCTGCGACAACGCCTGTTCGATCAATTAAATCAAATCGAGACTCCTCCTGTGCCTTGTTTTCTAGATTTTTATCTCTTGCTTGAATTTTTTTTTTTACTATCTCGGCACGCGTGTTAGCTATGGTAGACAAAACAATTCGATATATATATAGTTGAAAAGTACATAAACATGTTTATAGATATATATATCTTATTTTCTAAGGATTTTGGAATTTAAATTTTCCAGCGTTTTGAATTTAAACTTGTTTCTCTTGAAACTATTTTACCGTAAACGCTTCCAGCTATATTTAATAATGTCAGAACTCTATAACTTTGATGTTTTCCTGTTATGTAAATTATTATGAGAAAACTTACTCTATGAGTTTGTTGTCCTAGTGAATATTTACTTTTTGAAATTATCTATGATTATTAGGGAAATATTGAAGGGATTAGTAGAATATTATAAATGCTTGTTATTTTTCATTTTGCAAAAAAAAAAAAAAATTACTTATATTTCTCTATATAACTGAATTATTTTTATATTTTTGAGATTAAGTGTAATTTAATTTTTACATTATTTCTCTGTGAAATTATTATTATTATTAACTCGTATTATTATTAATAATAATAATAGTCATTCTCAAGGTGAAATTGAAATTTAGTTGATGAAGTAGACCATAATTATTGTATGTCTTCGGCAAGGTGGATGGTGAAATTGAAATGTTTCTCGTGAGTTCCGAGCGAATGAGTAATTGTACGCGGTGACTCGTTTCGAAGATGTGCATAGTGGGAAAATGGAAATTACACGTCAACTCGCACCGTTCCTATGACAGAATCGATCAAAACGAGATTAATGTGACAGTTAATGGAAGTGATTTCATCCACGTGATCTTTAACCATCGTGCGACCAATATTGTTGGCTATATTAGCTTATAACTCCCTAATGAATATAATATCAAAACTCTTTTATTATTTCCATAATCACAGTAAAAAAAAAATAGAATTTTTACCCCAAAATCAGTATAAAAATTAACTGCAACAAATTTTATTCTAGTTTTATCACTGTCTATGTGAATTAGCATTGGTTAAAATTACCCGCAATAAAATTTATCTAGCGTTTTTTCTGTGATATAATATTATTGTGGACTTTTCAATTTAATTCTTATAATAGAAGTTGGTTTTAGTTAGAAATTGCAATTTTTTTTTGTAGATTTTGGTATCAGTAGTAAGGGTGTGTATTTGTCAGACTTTCCAAACTCAATTTTATTTTTAGTGGTAAGAGTCAGAATGGTGTTTTTCGAATTCTTCTCAGTAGTAAAAATTTGTTTTAGTCAGACAGATATTTAGTTCTTGACATTGTAGTTTCAGTAGTAAAGGTCAATTTTAGCCAAACATTTTCAAATTCTTATTGGTCTTTCGAGAAAAACTAGTTTAGTCAAAAATAATCATAATTTTTACTATTTTTGTATCAGTAGTAAAAATAAGTTTTAGTCAGAAAAATTTTTGTAATAAGTAGTGCAAGGGAATTTTAGTCAGACAGGTATTTTAAAGTTATGTTCGTCTCAGTAGTAAAAATTTGTTTTAGCCAGGCAGATATTTAGTTCTTGACATTGTAGTTTCAGTAGTAAAAGTCAATTTTAGTCAAACATTTTCAAATTCTTATTAGTCTTACTGGAAAAACTAGTTTATAAAAAAATAATCATAATTTTTACTATTTTTGTATCAGTAGGAAAAATAAATTTTAGTCAGACGAAATTTTCTAATAAGTAGTGCAAGGGAATTTTAGTCAGACAGGTATTTTAAAGTTATGTTCGTCTCAGTAGTAAAAATTTGTTTTAATCAGACAGATATTTAGTTCTTGACATTGTACTTTCAGTAGTAAAGGTCAATTTTAGTCAAACATTTTCAAATTCTTATTAGTCTTACTAGAAAAACTAGTTTAGTCAAAAATAATCATAATTTTTACTATTTTGCTATCAGTAGTAAAAATAAGTTTTAGTCAGACGAATTTTTGTAATAAGTAGTGCAAGGGAATTTTAGTCAGACAGGTATTTTAAAGTTATGTTCGTCTCAGTAGTAAAGTCTAGTTTAGTCAGGCATAAATAGGAATATTTTCTTCTTTTTCAGTAGTTTAAACAAGTTTAAGTCAGACCGAATTTTTTCCACAGTAGTAAAGGTCAGTTACAGTCAAAAACCATAAAAGTTTTTAAATAGTTATAGTAATAATAATAATTATAATTCTAAATGAGAATTTTTTTTTTGTCATTTAGATTTCTATTTGAAATATAAACTCATTAGATTTTCAATATGCTTTGACGTATATTTTCTGAGTGTGTATACACTTTTGGTAAACGTTGGGATCATTTTGCAAATAAGGGATATACTTGCCATTTCGTCACGGTGTGCTTTCATGCAAATATATGATAATTTGAAAAGGGCGTGAAGCTCGATCTCTCACATCGTGTGGTTTGAGTATATTTGTCGAAAATGTCCATATGTGCTTTTACTATGAAATCCGACAAGTATAGAGTGGAAATATATATATATATATACATGTATAGTCATTGGATTTAGAGTTTTGAGGTAAATGGTACCCATGTGAAAGAAGAAGCAGCCCTGAGCGATTTTCATACAAATTCCAAAGCTGATGGTAATCATTCTCAAATTAAGATCATCCATCACCCTTGGGCTATTCTACTCTACGTTCCACTTAATAGTATTCAGCTGAGTGGCGTAATTTTAACTCACCCATACACACACATACACACATAGTATACGTGTCATTCACCCCATAAACTACAGAAAAGTGAAATTCAGCTATTCTCAACACGAGTAATGAGATTTTAATTTTTCAATTAAATAATTTTGCTTTTTTTAATATAATTGAATTAAAAATATATTTATGTGAAACAATGGAAAATTTTGAAATTTAAAATTTTTTTCAATGTTTAGTTACAACAACAAAAAAAATAGTGAAAGTTTTTTTTAATTTCGAAAGATTTTGAAAAGTTTAAAAAGAAAGTGCATTACAAAATCGATTAGAGGTGGTAGAGAATAAAAATTGAATTTCAGTTAACGTTGAAAGGGGGGAATTTTGTCGAACCTCACATTCAAAAGCGTGAATTCTCCAATCAAAGTGAAGGAGCAAAAGGCTTTCAACTGTCGTTAGATGAAATGCATGTTCACACAGCACTGACCTAATTGCCTCGTCTCGAGGATAAGGTACGGACCAACGAAGAGGATTCGTGCTTCGGCATCCAATATTAGGTGCCGAACTCGAGTCCTCGAAAGTCAACCAAACTTGGCGTAAAAGCTGTTCCGAGCTTTGTCCACCCTAACTTCGTTCTCATTTTCTAAGGATTGGCTGACTCGGTTCGTTTTCTTTATTTTTTTTCCCCCTTGTGACTCTAACTCTATTTTTAAAAAAAAATTTTCCAGAAAAAGAGACAAAAAAAAACGGTTTTAAAAAATTAGGAACAAAAATTTCTTTTTACCATTTAAATTTAAAAAAAAAGTTTATTTAATGTAAAATTAGAAAATTTCCAAGTGCGTTTATAAATGAAATTTAATTTATTTGATTAATATCTTTATTCGTTTTGCAATTCTCTTTATGTCGCTTGGTTCGTTTCCAGAACTGTTTAGATTTTTTAGTGATATGCCCCATATCATGAGTATAAGAGAGAACTATAGTTAAGCACATATCGAGATACGAAAGTGCAATAACCATTGCCAAGCACTTTCCATCGAGAGAAAGAGAAAGAGAGAGAGGCTGAATTTCTATTTTTCCTTTTTCATTTTTGCGAACATTGGCTCCAAGTCGTCTGGTTCAATTTTTAGAGAACAGAAGTTCATGATTTGCTAATAAAGTAATAACAATTTTTTTTTCACCAATTTATTCCTTTTGTAAACATATTTTTTATCGAAATTGAATTTAAAATTTATTTGTTTTTAAAAATTTTGTTAAATTAAGGGTTACTTTTCACTGTTTGTTTTTTTTCTCCAAAAGTATTATTTCACAGAATTTTCTTTTTCTTTTGAAAAATTGATGAAAATGAGAGATAACATCATTTTGCGATTCGCATTTAACTTGTTTTCTTTTTGCATTTTGTAATATAAGGGTGAAAAATTTGAGAAAGTTTTTATAGTTGACCAAAGAGGGGTTTTTTTTTTGTTAGAAAAAGTTTGCTTCAATAGAAGGTTGTAGAGAGGAGATGAGAAAAAAAAAGAAAGAGAACTTGGAAACGTAGGTGTAATTTTTCTTTTTCGATCCCTGTTGAAGAAACTTGAGTAGCGCCCGTTGTCCCCCGAAGTATGACAAATTGAAATGGCTATCGACACACAAGAAGAAATTGAACCTAAACCTCACACATATTTTTTTCACACCCAGTTACATTATTCCATTTACATAAATAAAAAAAGATCTCTTTTTTTCCCTTTTCGATATTTCAATATAATTTAGAATTGTATTCTTTTTCTAAAAATCTGATTTCAGTAATGTCTGACTAAATAGTGATATTTCTACTTAAAATTAAGAAATAGAAAATTACGAATTTGGAATATTTTTATTAATTTTTATAGTTTTGTTACAAAAAAAAAAGGTGATATAGTTGATCAGAGGAAATAGAGGGAAGAGGATATAAAAGTTGAAAAATAAAATACTTACGCTGTTCCATTGTGTCTTCCAATCGATACCACTCTGTAGATTTGAAGTTCAACTCGTTGACCAGTGTCTGGTATGAATTTATAGGTGCATTTTGTGGGTCCTTGTAGAGAAGGTGATTTTATTTGTCCAAAGCCACGATCTGATTTGCTGAACAATTGTCTACTGTCCAAAGTTATATTGCACACTGAAAATACAAGAAAATAATGTTTTTTCTATGTAACTTCTCACATTTTTTCATTTTTTTCTATCCTCTTTACTCAAACTTTCAACTTTTTTTTTTTAAAAAGCTGACCATTGAAATTTTCCTTCACATAAATCAATCACTATTATTTATAGGACTTTTATTTCTCGCGCTTTTTATATAATCGCAGTTATAATTTTTGGACAAAATATATAATTTGCATAGAAATATTATTATTTTATAGAAATTCATTGGGATAAATTACTATACATTTTATGATAAAATTAAGTTTAAAAAATGTTTAGTTTTCGAAATCGGCTTACACATTCTAATCTGTAATACGATTCCTAATTAACCTCAAAGCATTTATACTAATTTTACAGGTTCATTTTAATTAGTTAAATTGAGAAGATAATTACTTCCGTTTGTATCAATTCGCTTAAATCAATTTGTAATTACAATCAATGTAAATTTGGTGAAATGAGTTTTATTTTGCGAATAACAGACATTGTCCATTATTCGAATAATAACAAGGAGGAAAATTAAATCATTTGCCATTAATGATAATATGTAAATTTTTGCTCATATTATAAACTTTAGGAAATATTTAAATATTTCATTTTAGACAGGAGAATTGATATTATCGTGCCAGTTATTATTTATTAATTATATTTTTTATTTGTAACTTGAAACAATGGAACAATTTTGAATAATGTTATTAAATTATGTTTTTAAATTGAACAAAATATCTTAATGGAAAATGATTTTTTTTTTGGTTTAAATGTAGTTTAGAAACTTTTTCGATAACTTACTGTTGGCACAATGTTGCTCTAAGCCGCATTGAGCACATCTGTTTGGTGAAGCTGCACCGCAACTACAACCACCAGATGGAATGCAGCAAGCACAATCCTTGCTGGACGAATTAAAACTGCACTCACAGCCATTACTGCTTTTGGTCCACAAGTCAACTTGGCCTGAAATTAAAAATTATTTTCATTTAGTTACGAAATGAATAAGTAAAATTAATTTTTTTAGACATGGAAAGAAATTGAAAATATTTGAATACTGTTTTTTTTCCCAGGCATTAAAAATTTAAATAATGTAATTTTTTAAAAATTTAAAAAAATTTTTCATTCAATTAAATTATTTTATTTATGAATATCATTTTAAATGGGTTTTTTTTCTAGATAAATAAATAGCTTTTCTAAATTACTTCTCGATTTGGTGTAAAATTGATAGCAAAGCAGAAGGAAGCGATCTTCCAGGGACATCTCGATATGTCAATATCCCGAGAGGAAATACGGTATGGGCACTTGGTTCAACGCTAGTAAAAATAAAACGAACTTTATTGTGGTCGTTCACTGGTGGAAATGTATTTTGGGAATACGGCGAGTGGAGAAAAGAGGAGAAAGTGGTTGAGAAAAAAGAAAGAGAGAAAAAAAAAACGAAAATGGAGGGGATATGGCTGTTCAGAAAGACAAAGTAGAATAGCCTGCTCGTTGTGTTGTAAGTACGATTAGAGTAGAGAGAGAGACAAAAAAAAATGGGTGACAGTAAAAGAACGTTACAATCGCTACGCTTTGAGAAGCTCCGATTATTGGATTCTTAATTCAATGATTCTATACGTTGATTACGATAGACGACGTAGGTTTTGTGTCACTGTCAAGAGAATGTTCGGATAAAGGAGATCAGGTTAAGATGGATCGGGGATAACAGAGGTTAAAGTGAAAAAAGTGGTCAGGAATTCTTGTGAGGGAAAATAAAAAGAAAAACATACACACACGTGAAGGAAAATTTGACACTTTAAGCTGAAAAATACACAATTGTAGGAATACGATACTTGGATAAACAAACGTCATTAGTTTTCGATGTCTAAAAATATAAATTTAATGTAAAAAATACCTTTTTGTATATAGAAATTTTTCTCACAAGGATATCTTTGGATTTTAAGTATTTGCATTGAAAACTCATATATGGAGTGAAATAATAGTGATTGAGAATTTCAAAGGTCATATATTCATTGTCCACCTGTTTCGAAGCGAAACTATTGACTACGTCACTCGTTATGCGAATGTAATTTGGATGTTCGTTCGGTCCATATCCGTTCACATGATTCGATTTCATGTAAACTTGCTGCATGGCATATTGCGAAAATGTATGGGCGCACTTGCCGCCAATGTCATCAACTCCATTTCACGTTTCACTAACTTGACAGCAATTTTCAATTTTTTTCCCCTCTTTCCGCTTTTTTTTTTTTTTTTTTTTTTGAAATAAAAATTGACAACTTTTTTTTTTGTCAATATTTTTTATTGAATTTTATTTTTTTTACGGGAAAATATGTTTGATATGTGATAGTTTATTACAATAAAAAAATAACATTGAAAAAAAGTATTTTATTTGCGAATGGGAAAAATTTACAAAAAAGAAAGTATAATGTTATAATTAATTGTTTATAATAATTGTGAGTAAAATTGAAAATAAATTTGTAAGCTGCTAATTTGTAAAATTTGTTTCTGATTAAAATTAATTTTTCTGTTTCAGATGGAGATAATTAAATGTGTTTATTTGTCAAAGTGCCACGATGACAGTTTTGAAATAAAGGTCCGACAGGAGGAATTGCTGAATACTGTAAGTTTTTATTATTTTTTAATTATATAATTATAATGTACAAAAAAGCCCAGAAATCCTATTTGGATTTTTTTTCAGTTTCAGTGGTAAAAATCAGTATTAGTTAGACCAAACTTTTAAATTATTTGTTATATTATAAAAAAAAGCAATTTTTTGTCAGATCGAAGAATAAAAATTCTTGTCGTTGTAGTGTAAGTAGTAAAAGACAGTTTCAGTCAGACAGTTGGTATTCTTATTCAATAGACAAATGGCAGTAGTAAAAGGCAGTTTTTGGTCAGACCAAAAGATATATAAATTTTTTGTAAAAGTAAAGAGAAATCAATTGTAATTTAAAATGATTGTTAATTTTGATTAATTCATGAATTCGCTTAGTTTATTTCGCGGTCAGTGATTTTCAATTTGATTGATTTTCAAACATTGACCGTGAAGAGGTATATATATATATATAATGGTTGTTCTGGAGAAACGTGTTGTATGCGCCTTGGGTCTAAGGGTCTTGACATATCGAACACATTTCCATGCATTTGCACTTTAATTGGCTTTTCATCTAAACAATTCAGGTCCTGAATTCTAAGGCTTTTGCCTTCCGTCATTCCATAAATATTTATATTATATATATCCTCGTTGGCTTTTACATTTTAATTAGAATTCATCGTTAACTTCTTCGATATTTAACGAATATATCTTCGATATAATGAAATGAAAATTATATCTTCTTTTATTTTTTCAATTATTTTTTAATTCTCCGATGATTTGGTATTTGTATGATAACATGGTACATTTGGTAATATGGTCAATTTGATAACGGATATTATTTATTCGAAAATCGCATAATAGCTTTAAATTTTGACGTAAAGCTGAGACTATCAATTATAAGTCCATTGAGTGGGTGGCTACAGTGGTTTAATGCTATACACGAAACAAGCCACCACTTGTTCTTGGATGATGCCTGTGAGTTATCATAATCCGATTTGGTTAATCTGAAACATCCGTACGAACACTAAGCTCGTTTCGGTTCAGAAACAGTTTCAAGGTTGATCTCTACTAATCCTAGTTTACAGAGGACTATTTCTACCGCAAAGACATCAAGACAGCCGCATATACCGACCACTTTAAATCCGCAACTCTAATATATATATATATATATATATATATATATATATATATATATATAGAAGAGATACTAAAAAATCATTTTTTTAGATTGACTTGAGAATTTTTTATTCCTTTTATCGTTTTCAGTTTAATTGCAATATTATCTGATTTATCAGATAATATCAGCGATTTGAAATTTGAATGCACAGAAAATTAAAAGGCATTAAAATAAGCTGCTATTATTTTAATCCAATTTTGCTTATTTTAATCCATTTTGGTATTAAAATAAGCAAAATTGAATTAAAATACTAAGCGTTGCAGCTTATTTTAATGCCTTTTAATTTTCTGTGTAGTGAATAATTTATTTTAATTCTGTACAGTTTGTGTTAGCAATTTTTTAAGTAGTATTAACCAGACTGTATTATGTTATCTTCAACCATATATCAAATGAAGTAATTAATTTTGTTTTCTAAATTAAATATAAATTAATTAATTAAAATTAATATATCCTTTCGCATTTTCGCTTCTCTCACTATTTGAAATGAAAAGTTTTTCAATAATAATAATTCAAAATCTTGATATACAAATGAAAATTAATAATAGAACAATGAAGATCTTTCTTCTCTCGTAAAGAAGCTTTTGTTTTAAAATACCTTCTTTGATATGTTCGCACAATGAATATATTGTTCTGAGAATAACGTATATATATATATATATATATATATATATATATATATATATATATATATATATATATATATATATATATATAGTGAACAGGACGGGAGAATAATCGAGAACACGAATTTCAATATAGATATTAAAGCTTCTTCTTCAATGATTGTCTATGAACATCTCTGTTCAAAGTAGTTATAAATACATACGGATGCAAGTGCAGTAGTGCCCGACGGAAAAGGAAATCGTCGATACACGAGCATCCATAAATTTTGTTGTACATAGAGAGGGATAAAGCCATCGTTTTCTGTTACACGGTCCTCGGTGCTTGTGGCACTGGAAAAACGACGAATATAGAGGAAAAGGTGTATGTATATATATATATATAGAGAGGTGAAAGCTTCGTGGTGCCGACGACGCCTCGAAATCACGTGTGTATGCTAAATGCACCATTACGAACTTGTCGTAGTTCAGGATATCGGGGTATCATTTCAAACCGGATGACCCAACGATAAATATCCAAGAAAATACTATTCGCCCTTGGTACGTTGATCGAGTGGGTTCGATTGAAAGTATTTTTTATACATAAATGTGAAAAGCTCAGTGAAATTTTTTCTCTCTTTCTCTCGCGTTCCATACCTTGTTACTTTGTTAAATTTTTTTGATAAAACGCAAGAACTTTAGGCTCAATTTAAGGACAATAATAATAAGTTATTTGGAAGCTTCAATCTTTTCAAACTTGGTCGCGGAATTCGCGAAATTAGAGCACGATATTCGCGAAACCAGGTCGCGGAATTCGCGAAATTAGACCACGATATTCGCGAAACTATAGATTGTGGAATTTGCGAAATTATATCACGATATTCGCGAAATTAGGTCACTTGTAAAGATTCCCCGGAAAGTGCCCCCTGGAGGTTCTATCAGAATTCCGTCGGAATTCCATCGGAGTTCCAAAGAATTTCCGATATTCCAAGGAACTAGCCCACTTGGAAAGATTCCTCAGAAAGTGCCCCCTGGAGGTTCTATCAAAATTCCGTCGGAATTCCATCGGAGTTCCAAAGAATTTCCGATGGGATTCCGACGGAATTCTGACGGAATTCAAATGGAATTACGTTGGAATTATGTTGGAAGTTCCGGCGGAATTCTGATAGAACCTCCAGGAGGCACTTTCCGGAGAATCTTTCCAAGTGGGAGGTGGCGGAAGTGGCGAAATTCGCGAAAATTATAGTGAATGAAATTATTTTTTCTTAAATTTTTTAGATACCCTGACTAAGGAAAAATATAATTTGGACAATTTTTTTTTTATTTTCTGTTAATGCATTTTTTAGAAAAACTAAAATTACGAAAGTTTTTTCAAGATGAAATCACGCGAGGAACGTGAATTAGAGAGGACAATCGCGATAACAAAAATTGCCTTAAACCCTAAGCCGTTAGAGCGATAACTCGGTATTGCAATTCGAAGTACGTTTTCAACTTCCGGCGTTGAAGGGTGGTAGTGAAAAGAGAAAAGTAGAAGGGAGAGAGAGAGAGAGAGAATGTTTATCGGAGATCGTGAATTTTGGACGAGTCACCGTTATGGCGATTGTTTTTAAAGTACCCGACGGTAGACCTGAGCTTTATGGAGCGTGCGGGAAAAGGATGGAGGTGGAGACAGCAGCAAAAGTTGGCCGCAGTTTGAAATATCGCGTTCCTAATGCAGTGGGGCAAAAACACACCACTGTCCCTCTTTTCCTTTCTCTCTCTCTCTCTCTCGCTCTATTCCTGCTCACCCCCCCCCCTTGCTTCAACATCGAATTCGCTCAGTCGGCGTCTACGAGAATATAACGTGCAGGAAAGGTGGAGATCGTCCACGCAACAATGCTGACGGTATATCATGGCCCCGTATATCAGCGAGCCGGAGGCCATGAATCGCTAACTAGTTAAATCAGCTGGAACAACTTCAACAGTGAGAAAGTAAGCTAACGAGACTTCCTGTAAAATACTCGTGTTACCCTCGGGCAGATACGGTTCGAATAGATGAAGAAAATCAATGGAAGACGTATTACAATAAAAAAAAAAAACTTCTTAGTTATTTCATTTGTATCGAAGATAGTGAAAATTACCAACTGCACACAATAGGTTATGATATATTTTTCTTAACTAGGAATAAATAAGAATGAATATAAGATTTTATGGAATTTTTTTCATGGAAAAAAAGTAGAAACTTTTTTAAGTAGTAATATCCAAGTAGTAATATCCAAGTACAGTCAGACTGTATGAAAATTTCGTCCACAGTTTGTGCTAGGGATTTTTTAAGTAGTAATGTTCAAGTTTAGTCAGACTGCACATAAATTTCATAATTGTATGAAACAAAACTTTTTTTAAGTAGTATTAACCAAGTATAGTCAGACTGTTTATAAACAGTTTTTCTTCAGTATGGGTTGATATTATTCAAAGTAGTAATATCCAAATATAGTCAGACGATTTAAATTCTATATACAATTTTTAATACAAGATATAGTAGGCCTTCTTTTGAGTAGCTATAATCGATTATAGTCAGACACATAAATTTTTATTCAATTAATGCTGAGACTATTTTCAGTAGTAGTAACCGAGTATAGTCAGACTAGATAACGTTTTATCTACAGTAAATGAAGAGACTTTTTCACTAGTATACTTAATTGTAATCACTCTACATATAATTTTCGCAATGAAAATAAAATGTAAGTAGTTGTTTATTACAAATAGTGCTTTGGATACATATTTTGATTTCCGAGCAGAAAATATTTCAAAAATAAAATATTTAATTGACATTCATAATACAATATAAACATTTAAAAATTGTTTATTTAGACGATTGCAAATAAATTGAATAGGTAACCCGATAAATTTTAACGTCATTTATATTCATTTAAATTATCGACAATTTTGTACTGAGCATTATACTGTGTTTATCAATAAATAATAATTCTTGTTTCATATGAGGTTCGAATTTTTGTTAAGCAATTTTTAATGGCTTAAAATTCTCTTTCGTATAGTATTGATTTAATTTTAAATATAATAACGAGAAAATAAAAATTTTGAAATAAGCAATTTTTCGCTGCTTCCATTTTTTTTTTCTGTATGAGAATAACATTATTTTATTTTTATTTCTAAAAGGAAAAATGTAGAAAATTAACTTCCTGCTTTTATTGTGGGGTTTAAAGTTATCTTGTTTTTAGGACTTAGAAAATGTGAGTTTTCCAATGAGA